ATAGAGATGGGGTTTCACCATGCTGTCCAGGCTGATCTCAAACTCCTGATCTCAAGTAATCTACCTGCCTCAGCCTCCCAAAGTGCTGGAATTACAGCTGCGCCTGGCCTGTCAGGGTCTTTCTCTCCCTGCAGCTATATGACCCTTGGTTAGTCCAGCTCTTTTGACCCTGATGGACTTTTCCTCTCTTGATTACAGGAATTGAGTCTCTTTGATTCATACCTCTCCATAGGCTGGAAACTTCTTGAAGACAGAGATTATATCGGATTTATCCTGATATCCCCAGTACATAGCATATCATATACCTCACTGGATACTTGATAATGAGAATAATGATGATAGCTTCCAGTTATTGGGTGTTTAATCTGTGTCAGACACCGTGGTGAGCCCTTTTCAAAAATTAAAACTTCTTGGCCCAGCACAGTGGCTCATGCCTGTAATCCCAGCACTTCAGGAAGCCAAAGCAGGCAGATCACTTGAGGTCAGGAGTCCGAGGCCAGCCTGGCTAACATGGTGAAACACAATCTCTACTAAAAATACAAAAGTTAGCTGGGCTTGGTGGTGGGTGCCTGTAATCTCAGCTACTCAGGAGGCTGAGGCATGAGAATCACTTGAACCTGGAAGGTGGAGGTTGCAGTGAACCGAGATCACACCACAACACTAGTCTGGGCGACAAAGCAAGACTCGGTCTCAAAAAACAATAAAAACAAAAACAAAAAAAAACTTATTTGGTCGTGGGTAACAAAATTAAACTCCAGCTGACTTAGGAAAAAATAAAAAAGATGTACAGCACCTAACTGAAAGCTCACGAGTCAGTCTAGTTTCGGGCTTGTCTGGAACCAGGCACTCAAATGCTGTTTCAAGGAGCCTTTTTCCCCATCTTTTGGCTTGGTTTTCTTCTGTGCTGGCTTTGTTTTTAGAAAGATGCTCTTTATGCTTAGCAACCCCAGCAGAAAAAGATGATCTCTTCTTCAACACATCCAGTGAGGGGTCCAAGACAGACCTTCAGTGCATCCTCTTGGGTGTGTGCGCAACTCTGGATCAGTCATATAATTGGGGCGATCAAATTTGCTAACTGGCCATGCTTAGGTTGTAGCCTCATCCCTGAAGCCATGGGAAGGGGTCAGTCTACCCAAACTTAAAGGAAAATCAGATGCTATCTATCTTTGTCCAGACCATGAGCAGGACAAAAAAAAAAATAGCTACTTCCTATAACAGGTATCCTTGTTTTCCAGGTAAAGAAACAGAGGCACACAAAAGGAAGTATCTTGCCAAACATTACTAGCAAGTGAAAAGGCAGGACTGAATTCAAGTGTCTTTCTCTGGAGCCTGTGCTCCTCCAGAGCAACAGACAGGGTCTCTCATTTCTGGGTCCCCTCACTCATGCCCCAAGGTCTTAGCCTATAAGGGGTCCTCGATTCCAGTGGTCCTCAAAGTGTGGTCCATGAACCATGCAGATCGGCTAACTCCTTGTTCCTAGTCCACAGTGAGTTAAGTATCAAAATTCTGAGTAAAAACTGAGAAACGTTTTTATAGTAATTTGGAATTGCCACAACATGCGAGGGCTGTGATATGAAAAGATGGGTCTGAGATAGATTGCAGATGATTTGAGAAATGTTGCTCTATTCAGTTATGCCCAGAAGGAAGGCATGAGCCGTGGGCCTGCAGAGGAAAGCATGGGGGGTCCAGCGGATCCACCACAGGGAGGCAGGTGGGCAGACTGCCCATCCCACCAGTCAGATGGTGGTTGGCCACTTGGCTAACCCAGAGAAGCCTTCCTAGGAACCCCACTATTAGCATGGGCCGCTGCAGCTGATGAGCCTCTCTCGCTTCACAAGAAAGGCAGGCAGGGAGGCTCAGGCCCAAGCAGCTCCGGCGCCCAAGAGCTCTTGGTTCTGGTCCAGCTGGATACTGGCTGATCTTGCCCAAGGCTGCAGACACCTGGCACCTTCCGCCTGGGCTGCACCCACCCCATGCTTCCACACTGTGCCCAGAGGGAAGGTGATGGCTGACACACGCCCTGTGGAAAAGCCACCCCAAAACCAGAATTTATTCTTAAGCTGAGGTGAAAGGTCAGTTCCAGGGACATGCTGCCACCTCCCATCTTGACATGGGCCTCCTTGAATTGGCACCAGGAAGGAGCATGGCTCTCACTCTTACTTCCCTTGGTTGGACACTCTCCGATGCCAGGGCCATGCACCAACAGAGCAGCTCCCAAAATGAGCATCTTCCAAAGCCCAGATGACTCAGGGTGGCGAGTGTGACCGGAGGGGAAGCCCAGCAGCCAGCTCAGACCTTTGAGAGTTAACGATTCCTCCGTGCTGGTTTCACCTGCCTGTTCTATCGTGCCCAGTGCAGTGAAAACATCCCCGATACTCTGGGTTACAAGGTCAGCTCTGCAATTTTGCTGAGTAACTGTGGGCTGCTCACATGATCTTTCTGTATTTCAATGACATGACTGCATTTGGAAAAGGTTGGAACAGACACATCACAGGCTGATTCTGGGGGTGAACTGAGGTAATGCTGTAAAGCCCCTCCAATGCACAGGCCCACGGAGCATGGGAGTGGATATGAGGATGTTCCTTCACCCCTTCCAGGAAGCTGGGAGCTGAAAGAACTTAGGCTCAGTCACTTCCAGCTGTGTGACCATGGGTAGGTTTCTCAGCTTCCCTGAGCCTGGGTGATCTCATTTATGAACAGCAAAATACCCAACTGGCAAGGCTGGTTGTAAGGAGTAAATGTAACTGAATATGCAGAAGAGTGTGGCACATGGTAGATACTCTATGCTCATTAATTTAACACATACTTATTGTTAATGCTAGGGGCTATGTCGACTAGGTCAGGCATTAAGGCTACTATGGTGAGCAAAGAAATACCCTGTCCCCTCCCTAGGAATTCAGTAAAGGAAGTGAATTGTGAGCGAAACACAAAGTCATGGTGGTACTTGCCTGTAGCCCCAGCTACTTGGGAGGCTGAGGTGGGAGGATCACTGGAGCCCAGGAGGTTGAAGTTGCAATGAGCTGTGTTTACACCACTGCATTCCAGCTGAGACCCTGTCTCAAAAAAATTCCGTTGTCAAGTCAACCAGGCTATGGTATCTTGTCATGGCAGCCCAAGTTGACTAACATGGCCCTTCTTCTGTATCTTGTTTTTTTTTTTTTTTTTGAGACAGAATCTCACTTCATCACCAAGCTGGAGTTCAGTGGTGTGATCTCAGCTTGCTGCAACCTCTGCCTCCCAGGTTCAAGTGATTCCCCTGCCTCAGCTTCCTGAGTAGCTGGGATTACAGGTGTGCACCACCACACCTAGCTAATTTTTTTTCCATTATTAGTAGAGAGGGTTTCACCTGTTAGCCAGGCTGGTCTTGAACTCTTGACCTCAAGTGATCTGTCCACCTTGGCCTCCCAAAGTGCTGGGATTACAGGCATGAGCCACCACACCTGACCTGTAACTTCTCAAAGGGCTCATACCTCCTTTCCCTCATGAGGGGAGCTTACAACCTCCCCAAGGCAGCCTGTCCATCTTGGAAGAAGAGCTCTGTCTGTTAGCAAGGTCTTCCTCCTTTGGGGCAGAAACATGCCCACTGAAGCTTCCACACAACAGTCCCAGCTGTCTTTGAGATTTGCACAGAACAAGGCCACTCTCTCTTCTCCAGTGCCCCTTCAGGTGTTTTCAGGCAGATATCACGACCATCGACCCGTTTGAGGTTCCACAAGGACACAGGCCATGTCTGTCTGGTTTATTTCCGAGTCTCTGGCACCTTGCACAATAGTTGCCCCAGAGGAGAAGATTATATTTGTCTGATGGTTGAATGAACAAAAGTACAATACTTTTCTCTGAGTTAAATATTTCTAGTTCCTTTAACTGTACCTCCAAGACTTTGGTTTTGAGTCTTTTCTCCATTCTCCTTATCTCCGTATTTCTAGACTCATTCTTCGGAGATAGAATTTTTGCTCCTGTAAAAGAATGAAGTTTTGATTCTTATGGCTTGATCGGTTGTCAAACACTCCGCCTGCGTCTCTCCACAACGACACAGACTCCCCACTAGAGGACAATGAGTGTTGTAAAAAGCAAGAAAAGGGAAAGAAGGCCAGGCGTCATGGCAGGCGCCTGTAATCCCAGCACTTTGGTAGGCCGAGGCGGGTGGATACCTGAGGTCAGGAGTTCGAGACCAGCCTGGCCAACATGGCGAAACCCCATTTCTACTAAAAAAAAAAAAAAAAATAGTCCAGCATGGTGGCAGGTGACTATAATCCCAGCCACTCAGGAGGCTGAGGCAGGAGAATGGCTTCAACCCTGGAGGCAGTGGTTGCAGTGAGCCGAGATCACGCCATTGCACTCCAGCCTGGGTGACAAGAGCAAAACTCCGTCTCTTAAAAAAGAAAAAAGGGAAAGAAAAGCTGACACTTCTTGCGTTCGCAAATGCTACCTCAAAGATGTACCATGGTGAACTTGCTGCTGGACAGCCCTTAGAATGGTACCCTAATGCCTGACACATAGTCGATACTTGAATATTTATTAAGTGAATAAATAAATGTGATAGAATAAAACTCAGTCCTTTTTTTTTTTTGAGATGGAGTTTCACTCTTGTTACCCAGGCTGGAGTGCAATGGCGCGATCTCGGCTCACCGCAACCTCTGCCTCCCAGGTTCAGGCAATTCTCCTGCCTCAGCCTCCTGAGTAGCTGGGATTACAGGCACGCGCCACCACATCCAGCTAATTTTTTTTTGTATTTTTAGTAGAGACGGGGTTTCACCATGTTGACCAGGATGGTCTCGATCTCTTGACCTCGTGATCCACCCGCCTCGGACTCCCAAAGTGCTGGGATTACAGGCTTGAGCCACTGCGCCCAGCCTGCAGTCCTTTTTTTTAACTGGTGGAGATAAGTCACTATTTCCTGCATTTGAGAATATTTTAAAATTACAAAATAAATTCATATTGCTTCTAGAAAGATAATTAGAAAATACAGTTGATTAAAAAGAAAAAATGGAAACGAGACCAGAGGCCAAACTTGGGTTCTGACAAGATGGCCAGGCTGCCCCGCAGGGTCATCAAGGAAACCCAGCGTTTGCTGGCAGAACCAGTTCCTGGCATCAAAGCAGAACCAGATGAGAGCAACTCCCGTTATTTTCATGTGGTCATTGCTGGCCCTCAGGATTCCCCCTTTGAGGGAGGGATTTTTAAACTTGAACTATTCCTTCCAGAAGAATACCCAATGGCAGCCCCTAAAGTACGTTTCATGACCAAAGTTTATCATCCTAATGTAGACAAGTTGGGAAGAATATGTTTAGATATTTTGAAAGATAAGTGGTCCCCAGCACTGCAGATCCGCACAGTTCTGCTATCGAGCCAGGCCTTGTTAAGTGCTCCTAATCCAGATGATCCATTAGCAAATGATGTAGCGGAGCAGGGGAAGACCAACGAAGCCCAAGCCATAGAAACAGCTAAAGCTTGGACTAGGCTATATGCCATGAATAATATTTAAACTGATCCGATCATCAAGTGTGCATCACTTCTGTTCTGCCAAGACTTCTTTCTTCCTTTTCGTTTGCATTTAATGGAGATAGTCTTAGAAACATTATCGAATAAAAAAGCCCAGACATCTTCAGTCCTTTGGTGATTAAATGCACATTAGCAAATCTGTGTCTTGTCCTGATTCACTGTGGTAAAGCATGAGCAGAGGCTACAAGTATCATCTGGATTGTTGTGAAAGGTTTAAAAGCAGCGGCCCCTTCCTGCTTTTACTCATTTCCCCCATCCTGGTTTAAGTATAAAGCACTGTGAATGAAGGTAGTTGTCAGGTTAGCCGCAGGGGGGTGGGTATTTTTCTTTATTTTTTTGAGGGGGGAGGTAGTTTTATTTTAATTTTATGGGCTCCTTTCCCCCTTTTATGGTGATCTAATTGCATTGGTTAAAAGCAGCTAACCAGTTATTTAGAATATGCTCTCTAGCCAAGTCTAACTTTATTTAGATGCTGTAGATGGACAAGCTTGATTGTTTGAACCAAAATGGGAACATTAAACAAACATCACAGCCCTCCCTAATAACATTGTGACTTTGCTGTCAAGTGTAGATTCCCCACTTCAAAAAAAGCTTGTGACCATTTTGTATGGCTTGTCTGGAAACTTCTGTAAATCTTATGTTTTAGTAAAATATTTTTTGTTATACTTAAGAAAAAAAAAAAGAAAAAATAATAGTTCCATGCAATCCTATTATCCAGTCTTAACCACTGATGTTAATTTGCTATTAACATCAGGTACTTCCAGGCATTCTTCTAAACAAATACATTTAAATATCAATCAAGCATGTTGTTTGGTATCTAGCTTTATTTTTCTTTTCACTTAGTCATATTCTGAATGTCTCTTTGTTTCATTGAATATTCTTCTAAATCATTTTTAGATTTTTAATATTTGTATGGTATCCTATCATATGAATGTCAAATGAGCAAATCTCTAATTTTGGATATGTAGGTTATTTGCAATTTTCTTCAAATGTTTTTTCTTTTCTTTTCTTTTTTTAAAGCCAGATTCTGGCTCTGTCACCCAGGCTGGAGTGCACTGGTGCAATCTCAGCTCACTGCAACCTTCGCCTCCTGGGCTCAAATCATCCTCCCATCTCAGCCTCTCGAGTAGTTGGGACTGCAGGTGTACACCCCCATGCTTGGCTAATTTTTGAATTTCTCTTGCGGTTTTGCCATGTTGGCCAGACTGGTCTCAAATTCCTACACCCAACCGATCTGCCTGCCTTGGCCTCCCAAAGTGCTGTGATTACAGGTGTGAGCCACCATACCTGGCCTCTTCAAAAGTTTTTATGGTGCTTACCATCATACGGAGTGTTTTACCAATGTTAACCATTTAATCTCTCCTAAAACCTTATGCATTGGGTACGATTGCTGTCTCCATTTTATAAATTGGAAAATTTAAGCACAGAGGGAGTACGTGACTTGTCAAAGGTCACACCGCTGGTGAATTAACAGGTGGGGCCTGATTAACATCCAGGCAGACAAGGATTCCAAGTCTATAAGCCTAACCCCTGCACTCTACTGTGTCTCAGTGCTCAAATGAACATACCAGCAGCTAAAGCTCTATACACATTCTTAGCTGTTTTTTGCTATAAATGCTTACATGTGAAATGACTGGGCCAATGGGCATGCATATTTTACAGTTTTTAATGCAAGCTGTTGCAAACTGTGTTGCTGGGTTGTGAATGTGTCGACTCTCATTTCTGACTATCTCCTACCCTCAGTGGTCATACTTTCCTGGTCCAGCAATCTAGGTGTGTGGAAAAGTCTCCAAGTGCTCTGAGGCAGTGTCCTCCTGCGCTCTGGGCCTGTCTTCTCCTCCAGGAAGCCTTCCTGGTCTCCAAGTCAGCAACTCCCTTTTTTAATGCTCATGTCCCCTGCTACGCCCCTGACTGTGCTGGACTGTGGCAGTGTGTGTTGAGCTCTGTGAGCTCCTGGAGGCGGGTGGGGCCTGTGACCGAGTCATTTGTGTACACAGTGCCTAGTGTGGGACTTGGTGTGCCTGGCAGCAGTGCCTGGTCACCTCTGTTAAAAACAAGAATGAGTCAGAAAGTGAAGTGCACATGTGGGGACAATTGGTACAGAGCATCTGACAGTGGAACGGTTCTCAGCATTCCAGGCCACTGTTTGATCCCTAACACTCCATCTGGTACCTAGCCCATCATAATATGCACTCAAAAATACAATTTGACAGTGTGCACAAGTAAGCACTTATTAAATGGAGTGTTCAAAAGCCTACTTTTATTCTTTCTCTAGTATCTATGTTCCATCATTTTTCTTTATTTTTTTGAGATGAATTTTGCTATTGTTGCCCAGGCTGGAGTGCAATGGCATGATCTCAGCTCACCGCAACCTCCACCTTCCAAGTTCAAACAATTTTCTGGCCTCAGCCTCCCAAGTAGCTGGGATTACAGGCCTGCACCACTGGGCTGGACTAATTTTTTTGTATTTTTAGTAGAGACAGGGGTTTCTCCATGTTGTTCAGGCTGGTCTTCAAATTCTTGACCTCCGATGATCCACTCGCCTTGGCCTGCCAAAGTGCTGGGATTATAGGCATGAGCCACCTCACTCGGCCCCATTATTTTTCTTATTTAAAAAAAAAATTGGAAAATATGGCCAGGCGCAGTGGCTCATACCTGTAATCCCAGCACTTTGGGAGGCTAAGGCGGGTGGATCACAAGGTCAGGAGTTTGAGACCAGCCTGGCCAACATGGTGAAACCCTGTCTCTACTAAAAATACAAGAAATTAGCTGGGCATAGTGGCAGGTGCCTGTAATCCCAGCTACTCAGGAGGCTGAGGCAGGAGAATTGCTTGAACCTGGGAGGCAGAAATTGTAGTAAGCAGAGATTGTGCCATTGCATTCCAGCCTGGGCGACAGAGTGAGTCTCCATCTCAAAAAATAAAAAAAAGGAAAATATAAAAAAAGACGAAGAAAAAACCAAAATGCCTCTAATTCAACCACTCATCAGTAACCACAGAAACATTTTGACGGACATTCTTCCCGGCTTTTCTCTGTATATAGAAACAGATGCATATTTTCTTTTTCGGTTTTTAGAGATGGAGTCTTGCTGTGTTGCCCAAGCTGGTCTCAAACTCCTGGGCTCAAGCAATCCTCCTGCCTCAGCCTCCCAAAGTGCCGGGATTATAGGCATGATCCACTGCACCCAGCCTCAGATGCATATTTTAAAAACAGAATTGCCATCCTATTGCGAATTCTACTTGGTCTGCTTTTCTCCTTCAAGACAGCAGGAGCTGAATACAGTGGCTCATGCCTATAATCTCAGCACTTTGGGAGGCCATGGCAGGAAGGTCGTTTAAGACCAGGAGTTTGAGACTAGCCTGGACAACAAGGCAAGACCCCCATTTCTACAAAAAATTAAAAAATATGCCAGTTATGGTGGTGCATGCCTGTAATCCCAGCTACTCAAGAGGCTGAGGCAGGAGGATCGCTTGAGTCCAGGTGTTCAAGATTATAGTGAGCTGTGATCACACTGCTGCATTCCAGCCTGGACTACAGAGTGAGACACTATCTCTTAAACAACAAAAACCTCTTTATGGAGTTTTTGAGAAGATTATATGAGTCTATACACACACTGTGTGTGTGTGTGTGTGTGTGTGTGTGTGTGTGTGTGCATTTTTGAGACGGAGTCTCACTCTTGCTGCCCAGGCTGGAGTGCAATGGCATGATCTCAGCTCACCACAAACTCCGCCTCCCAGAGTCAAGCAATTCTGCTTCAGCCCAAGTAGCTGGGATTACAGGCATGCACCACCATGCCTAGCCAGTTTTATATTTTTAGTAGAGATGGGGTCTCTCCATGTTGGTCAGGTTGGTCTTGAACTCTTGACCTCAGGTGACCCGCCCTCCTTGGCCTCCCAAAGTGCTGGGATTACAGGCATGAGCCACTGCTCCTGGTGAGTTCATATATTTAAAACGCCGGCTAGGCATGGTGGCTTACACTTCTTTTTTTTTTTCCCCTGCTCCAGTGGCTCACACTTCTAATCCCAGCACTTTGGGAGGCTGAGGTGGGAGGATTCCTTGGGTTCAGGAGTTCAAAACCAACCTGGGCAACAAAGCAAGACTCTGTCTCTATAAAAAAATTTAAAAATTAGCCAGTCGTGGTAGTACACACCTGTATTACCAGCTGTTCAGGAGGCTGAGGTGGGAAGACTGCTTGAGCCCAGGAGATTGAGGCTGTAGTGAACCATGATTATGCCACTGAACTGAATCTTAGGCAATGAAGTGAGATCCTGTCTCAAAAAAAAAAAATACTGAGCACAGAGAATGCCCAAATGTCATACATAATCAACAAACACAAGGTAATATTATGATTATAAGAAACATATTTTAAGCCCCAGTCTACAGATGAAAAATCATATAACAAATAGTTGACTGTTATATGATTGTGATTTGTCTACTGACAGAAATTTAGGAGAGTCTAAACTCTGTCTGACTCCAAAGAAACTAGAACCTGTGAAGTATGCATACTATACCATGCGTGTATATGTATAGACATTTTACATGTTTTGGGATAATGTCATCTTCGACATCATTTAGGGTCTGGTAACATGGCACATAGAATATGCTGAATCGTAATATTGCATGAATTTTTATTATTCTTGTTTAGTGGGAAAAAATTGAGCTCCACAGAAGCTAAGAGACTTGCCTAAGTACACACAATTAGCAAATGGTAGGGCTGGGACTGGAACCTTGGACCACTGTGGTCACCTGCCTCTCAAACAAGCCTCAGAGAAGGGAAGTGGCTTGCTAAGGTGTTGCCACAGCTTCTACTCTGCTATCCCACCTCTCCCAACAGTCTTGTGGAATTTTCCAGAATTCCAGGGCTGGACGTCACCTCTATGATCATTAGATGTTTGATAAAGATGACCAGGACAGCAACATGCTGACTGTCAAAAGGTCACACTGAGACCCAGAAGGCCAAGTAGGTGAAATGCAAGACTCTCA